GGGGGGGGGGGGGCTGGACCCACGTGCCTCCCGCTGCCAGTCTGTGGACCTTATCAGCACTGCAAACAGACCCCCATGCCCAGCTATGCTGAGCCTGCCCACAGCCCTCCACCAGGGTCCCGCGACCAGGGCCTGGGCGCCGACACCACTCGCAAGCTCACAGTGGGATGGCTGGTCTCCTGGGCCCCGGCTGGGCTCAGAGCTTGGGCACCTCAGCCCGTGGCCGTCGGCTCCGTTTGCTGTTTGCAATTCACTTCTCTAGACCTCGGGCCACCGTGTGCCTTATGTGGACTCCGGAGCTTCACTAGGCCTCACTGGACTCCAGCGGGACCTCAGGCCACTGTGTGCAGCAGTGAGCCATGAGCAGGAAGAGAAAGGAAACTGCGAGTCCTCCGGGAGTCAGGTGTGCCGAGGGCCCACCAGCCGCGGCTCCAGCCCACTCCTGAGGCCCAGGACTGGACGCGGCCCCATTACTCAGCTGCTGGCCAATGGCACCCGCCCCTAGCTGGAAGCTTGGACCTGAGTGGGCGTGGAATCCATGGGGGTAAATAGCTCTCTGTGAATGTTTTCCAGTTTGAGACTGGCCCACAGGGGTCCCAGCCCTCCCGGGGGCTCGCACAGGGGACTCGCACAGGGGAGCTCACACAGGTGGAGCTGCAGTGGGGCTCAGCAGCAGCAGCCTGGGGGCTCAGGGCCCACGCTAGCCTCAGGCGCTGGTCAGCCCTGGGGGTCTGCTTCCCCAAGAGATTCCCAGAGCCCTCCCCCGCCCCTCCCTCTGGGGGTTTGAAACGTGGCAGGAACAAGTGAGGGTTCCTGAAGGGGGCCCCAAGGCCCCTCCCAGGGAGGCCTGTGGGCCCTGAACTGGCCTGCGGGCGCCAGCGGGTCCTTAACATGTTTTCCATCTTACGTTAACATAAGGTGCAGCTGCCAGCCAGACATCACTACACGAAAACAACCCCCTGCGTCACCGCTGTGCGGGCGACCTTGGCTTCACTGAGGGACGCACACAGGGGAGTTCTGGGCTCCGGAAGCTCTCAGGAGGGCGTCGGGGAGTTGGGTTTCTGAGCTTGATGCGTTTGTGACAGTGGGTGAGCTCAACCTGGGCACACACTTCAGCGAGTCACGGCACACGCCATTTTTTAAAAGAAAGCTGTTTTCACAGCGCACAGGATAAATCTGGTATTATTTCGTGAAAACTGTATAGAGAGCCTAAGTGCTCTGCTCCCACCCAGCACCGGGGTCTCCCCGAGGGTGCGCCGGCGAGGGCCCCTCCCAACCGGAGGACCCGCTGACTCTCGGTCCCCTCTCCTCCCAGCTATCGGGGTTTCCCGGAAAAGAACTGAAAACTGAGAGAAAGCCCACGGACACCTCAGGAGCGCCGGCTTTACAAGCAAAAAGGCAAACACTAACGCCACCACCTTCTAGAGCAGTTTTATTTTCACTCAATTCACAGATGCAAAGCGAGTAGCCGAGAGGCGGGGGGTTACAGCGAGAGGCGGGTTACAGCGTGAGGCGGGGAGCTCCGGCACCCAGATGCGCCCTCCCAAGCACCCCCAGCCCAGGGGTGTGTCGGGAGGTACTGAGAGGCTTGCAGAGGGGAAATACTCGTGCTGCGAGGCCGCTCTCCGAGCCGTGCTGTGGGCGGCAGCGTGAGCCGGGGTCGCAGGCTCAGCGCCAGCTCCGGTCCTCATGGAGCCCAAGCGGCCATGCAGCTGGGAAGGTTTTACTCAAACGGCCGGTAACGAACGCCGCTCCCAGAAGGGATAGCACCTCTCGTCCACACCAGAAAAAAAAAATAGGCTTTCTTCTTACACACTGTCGGGTGCAATCAAAGTTGCAAGAGTCCCCCAAGTATCTGAGATCCGCAGACAACTGGAAACACGGGTTGGAGTGAACACGTGGAAGTAGCCGCCGCTGGCGCTTGGATAACCTTGTTCAGAGCTGGGAACTGCTGCTGAGCCGCAGAGATCGCGAGAGGGCGCAAATACCAGACCCGGAGGGCGGTCAGCCGATGAACCTTTCCGACGGCCAGGTATCTGGGTAGACGGTCGGGGGGGCCGGGACCTCCACCACGCGCGGGGCCAGCGCCTCCATCTCGCGCACCACCTGCGTGAACACCTGGTCGACCATCAGTTTGCTCTTGGCCGTGACCTCCAGGAACGGGCACCGCCACTCGCGGGCCAGTGCGCGGCCCCGCGCCGTCAGCACCTCGCGCTCGCCATCCAGGTCGGCCTTGCTGCCCACCAGCACCAGCGGCACGGCCTTGGGGCCCCGCAGCCGGCCCATGCGCTCCCGCAGCGGCCGCACCGCCTCGAAGGAGGCCTCGCTGCACACGCTGTAGAGCACCACGAAGCCGTCGCTGTTCTTGATGTAGAGGTCCTTGAGGGTGACCAGGTGCTCGGCGCCCACCGTGTCCACGATCTCCAGCAGCGCGGGCGCCTGGTTCACCTCGATCACCTTGCTGAAGAGGTCCTCCACCGACGGCTCGCACTGCTCGGGGAAGCTGCCGCAGGCGAACTGCGTGGCCAGCGCGGTCTTGCCCACGGCCACGCTCCCGAGCAGCACCACCCGGTAGCCCTTGGCGGGTCGCGGCAGCAGGCTAGCCATGGCCGAGGCGCGGCAGGCGGGAAGGTCGGGAGGAATGGCGC